CTCAGTAAGGGAAGCGTTCCACTTTCCTCCAGCTATATCTGCCAGAAAGCATAATAATGCAGTCTGACTTACTGTGCAAGTTGCATTCTCAAGAGCCAGTAAGGTCAAGACTGAATAACCTTACATTATTGTCAAGGCCAAGGAGACTGTCAGGGATGGGGTCATCGTTCATAGGCCAAGACCCTACATCATCAGATACAACTGTGACAACAGGGCTCCATTGTTGTATCTCCATCTGGCAACGACACCTCCTCCCCACCCCAAATATCTTTTCTGGCAGGCAGTACTCCAACCAAAGAATTTCTAAGGCAATGGAGATCCGAATGCTGTGAAATGACAACACTGAAATGACAGTTTCAACAACTAGAAGCCGGACCCCTGTGGCAAGTCCTTTTTTCCAGACTTACTGGCAAGAAGGGATTGGAAATGCAATCCTTTAGGGGCCCTAATCAAAAGCTGAACAAACCTCTTTTATCTGTTGCTGAATCTGAAGGTGGGCTGAGAAGGTTTAGAATAGACTTTATTAAGTAGCCATTGTAAAATATCGGTGGTCAGTTCCCCCATGCTCAAAGCTGCTGCCATGCAGAAAACATACTGCCTGGCTAAAAAGGTAAATTGTGGGGGTCATGCTTGATTGTCAATTACCATAAATATAAATCCCTAAAGTTACAAAATCAGAAATCCATCATATGATCTCATAACTACTGAACAGAATGCCAGTCAACATCTTTTGATCAGTTAAAATGAAGCGTAAAAAGAATGCAAAATTTGATCAAAAGCATCCGGATCAATGGAGGATATGCAAAACATTAGCAAATATAGATGCAAGTCATTTCCACACAAGGCTTTTAGAGTTGAATTGAAGTAAATTAGCACCAGGAATCAGGCAGGCATTTTAGGTAATGATAATACTGCTGCTCCTTTTTCCTTCTGGTTGATATCCCAGGTGTTCTACTACCAAAAATAAGCCATTTGTTCCTTGAAGCCATGGCATTTAGGTTTATTCCCCACTAGTGAGAATAACCCTTTTGAAAGTATTCCAACATCCAGTAGATTATTTGAGAAGGAAAAACAAAGCTAATTTACCCAAACTTTGCCCCAGCTTCCCATTTGCACTGTTTATGGATGGAAAGAAAAACAGGGTAGCAAAGATCTCCTGGGAGTTTCCATTAGCTCTCCAATATTCTCCCCTTTTTAAAAAAATAATAAGCGTGCTTCACTCTACCAATGAAGTAATACATCATCAAAGGTCCATTGGATCATGTTGAAGGAATGTTTCACCAGTGCAGTAATAGTAATGAAGGTGGGATTAACAGCAGGAGATATGAGGTAGGAAAAAGTGACAACAAACTCCTGGGAAATGGTCAAGTAAAGATGAGAACTGAGGAAATTTGTGAGGGAGGTATGGGATTCCCATTTGAAACTGCTCCCTACATAAGAAAGCTGCAGTATTATTATCATGTGATTATTATCATCCCAGGACCAATGCTGAACAGCAAAAGACAATGTTACAATCATTGTAGCTAGTGTTTTTTTATTTATTTTATATCAAAAGCATTGCATAAATTAGTATAAAACAGATAAAAATATAAGGAGCACAAGTAGCTAAATATCTTTTGACCATAAACAGGCAACAGCAAAGGCATTGTCTGTAGCCTCCAACAATTCTTCCTCTGTACATGAGGCAGGGCATAGTGGACAAACATACAGATGTGGAGTGGTCTGTTCACACAAAGTGGGGAATTATTTTAGGTAGCGCCATTTTGCCAGGTTGCCTTTTGATCTGCCCACTCCTTTTCTGAGTCTATTCAGGGACTTCCAAGTTGCCCAATCTTGGTTTGCCCCTGGAGGAAGACCTTCATGGGGAATTTCCTCCAAGGGAAATCCACTTGGGATTTCCTGATTTAGCTGCCCAGGGGGATAGTCTTGCTGTTGCTGGGGGAACATTAAGAGGAATGGTGGTTCTCATGAAGCTTTTCCTTGATTTGAGTCTATTGGGAGGAGGCTGTTAGCCATGCAGTGGATGGCTTTCACAGTGTTCAACCTTATTTCTCTCACAGTTAGCAGCAACTTCCCGTTCCACATCGGGGGGGGGGGGGGGGGGGGGGGGGATGCCAGCTAGATTGTAGGTTTAAGACATCCTGTGATTATTCTGCATTTTTCATTCAATGCTATGTTCACGTGCTTCACGTGGGCAGACTTCTGCCAAACAGTGATGGTACAAACTCTATTTCTTTAGAATAACTATATGAAAAGGTCCCCAGTCTCTACATCAAAGTTCTGAGTATTTAGCTTTGCACCCTCTGTGAACTTCAGATTAAGCTATGAAGGACATTTGGGGGTCAGTAACTGGGCTTTTTGTTGCATGTAAACAAGGTATTTGAAAAGGCTGTTTACATGGTATACAGGGAGGATTACTTCTGTCAATGCAGTTTTTACCAAAGTACATACTGTCTGAGCACAGCAGTCAGGTTAGTGTAATATAATGGAAGAGAAGGTGAAACACTAGGAATGGGTTGAGATAAATGCCTAGCCTTTAACGCAGGGGGAAGCAGTGATAGGAAGGTTGGATAGTGGTCCCCAGAGGGGATTCTGGGGGCCACAAAAATGGCTGTACTCTATCCACCCCAGTTTTAAATCCATTTTATAGACAAAAATCAACCCTTTTCCTCCTGTAGCATGATTTTATCTTGAAATTTGACTTCTTGCCCGGAGTCTGACATGTCAGCTGGTGCTTTGAGACCTGGCAGCTTTAATTAAGAGTGCATCATATACATGTCTATTAAGAAATTAGCTAGCTGACTTCAGTGGGACTTAATCCAAAGCAAATGTGTAGTACAGGCTTGCAGGTGTCCCCACCCATTTGCACTGTGTTCCTGGTTGTTTCTTCACTTCACTTTATTTCGTCATGAACAAAGCAAATAATTCATTATGGAGAGCCTAGTGGTACAGTCAAAAGAACTCCCTGCTGGCTTTACCTAATATATCCTGACCCTTGCCAAGCCAAGCACTAAATCTAGGTTCAACTGTCATGTCTCATAATGAGCTCCTATTTAATAGTAACACTGATAAGTTCATGAAATTATCCTTTCTGCCATTCTTTGACTTTTGTAATGAATTAAGGGGAAGAACAGTAACTATTATACAACATATTAAGGAATTGGAATACACATTTCCAAATGTGTACTAATATACTCATTTTATCTACAGATTGCCCTGGTGGTGCAATGGATTAAACCCTTGTGCCGGCAGGACTGCTGCCCAAGAGATCAGCAGTTCGAATCCAGGGAGAGCAGGTTGAGCTCCCTCTGTCAGCTCCAGTTCCCCATGCGGGGACATGAGAGAAGCCTCCCACAAGAATGGTAAAACATCAAAACATCCGGGCATTCCCTGGGCAACATCCTTGCAGACAGCCAATTCTCTCACACCAGAAGCAACTTCCAGTTTGTCAAGTCACTCCTGACATGAAAAAAAATCTACATGCTGTGAGGTAATAGTCAGGTAAACAATATTTGAAGATCGTGAGTAATGTATGTCTGCTCAAGAGTAAGCCTCATTAATTTTATAGGGATTCCTTCTTCAAGGAATACTCAGAGGTGGTATTTCCAGTTTCTTCATCTGAAACATAGCTTAAAGCACTTTGTATTCATTGGCAGTCTCTCATTCATGTACTAAACAAACCTGGCACTGCTTAACTTCCAAGATCAGACAGGATCTGATGCCTATTATAGGGTATTTCGGACCAGGCTTGACCTACACCTTGATAATTCACCAGGACGCCAGACACTGCATGCCATTCCCAAGGCTGTGATTCTAAGATACAATTAGTTTGGAAGGAAAGCCTATTGAAATCACCGGGATATATTTCCAAATAATTGACTTTTAAGACTGAGGCACAAGTAGAACATGTGAAAGTATGATGCTTCATTGCCCCAGTTAGTACAGAGCTGATGCCAATTCTTCTTGCCACATATTGTGAATTTCATATCACCACTGCCCCATGACTGCCTGGGAGCTTGGCTTCCCCTCCATGCAGAAGAAGTAAATTGACAAGCCAAGCAGTTGGCAGGCACCGGAAGCCAACAAAAATCACTCCAGACTTTCCAACACTGAAAACTGACCTCCAGTAGCCAAAAGGCATGAATTGGAGCAGAAACCAGGACCTCAAAAGGAAAGGTGCTGAGGGCATGCAATCCGCCTTCAGTGTGGCTGCTGTTTGCAAACGTCAGCTGCTCGCTCGAGATCACGTCAGTCAATGAAGCATGAGCGGTGAGCCATCTGGGCATTTACCCAGAAGGACTTTGAAAGCTTTCTAACCAGTCTTATTGGTTCAAATAATATGGATGCACCACTGTTTTTGTGAGCTATAAAGAAGTATGTGTCTTGTTAGGATTCATGGCCCAAAATATAAAGAGTGGGTGGGAAAAGAACTACTGTATTGTGAGATACACGCATCCTGTCAGCGATTTACATGGGCGTAGGTTGTGCTGCGGATGCGGAATTATTTCTTCAAACATGCATAATCATCTGTCAGTGGCATGAAGAGAATTTCACATGCAGAACTGTGGCACACATAGTAGTTCATTGAAATAAATGGAGTAACCATTCAATCTGCGTTGTCTCTATACATTTCTCCGAACATTGTGCATTGCAACTGCAAAGTGGGTTATCAACCAAGCATAGTGACCACTGATCCACAAATTTTGATTTTGGACAGGGAAACGTTGCAGGTGAATATATACACTAGCTTACTTAGTGTAGAACTTTACCCATTGTTGCCCCTGAAAATACAAGAAATAGTTGGAAAGGTTTTGTTTAGTATTCTGTTCACACAGTGGCCAGCCACATGTGGCAATAGGGGCCTTCACCTGTAAATCCTGTTTCATTAGCATTGTCCTGTCCAAATCCCACAATCCTACAATAGCATGATACCTAGAGAAATATTACTTAAAGAAATGAGATAAGCCTCTTTTAAAGAGCATTAATTGATTAAACAGAATTTTATTTTTTACACTTATCAGTGTCATTTCACTCAGTGAAGCATGAACCTTTTCATCCAGGGGAGTTCTCAGCCATCTTTCCTTGCCAACATGAACAACATTATTTAAAATATGCAATTATTATCCTCCATGTGCCTTGACCTCAATGACTCTTAGCCCTCTACATTCAATAGTGAGAAATTATGGAAGTTAAAGTCCAAAAATATTTGCAAGACCACAGCTGTCTAACCAGTGCTAGGGTATATTCCTGTGGAAAAGAGATAATAATAATAATAATAATAATAATAATAATAATAATAATAATAAAAACTTTATTTATGTCCTGTCCTTCTCCCCTAGGGGACTAGCACTTTGGCTCTGATTAACAGCACAAAAATGGGAGATGGCGAGGCATGTCCATAGAAGCCTGAACAATACACTGTAGGTTTGGTCAAAGAAGTGGGGGATTTGTTGAGCATCTGTAAGTTTCTCATATGTGGCATTGGATTGAATTTGACTGATAGTGACAAGAGAGGCAGACTTGATGGTATGCATACATGCTATTAATTGTATTTTTGATTGCTTGGTATGTTGTCCTTGGATTGTGAAGAGGTGCATCTCTCCACATCCCTTTCTTTTTTGCATATTCTTCTTATTAGTTGGTTCTATTCCATCATTTATTATTTCCATCTCTCCCTTGAAATCTTCAAAAAACAAAAGAAAAAGTTTGATCATCCATTTTCTTTCTCTGTCCTGAAATTCAGCTTCCTTCATTGACTTGATTAGGTGAGCTGCCTCCTCCCATCAGTCACCTCTAGATTTGGACTTCTCTGAAAAATGTTGACCCCTTAGGAGTTTTACCTACCTCATCTCCCTCTGGTTTTTTAATTCTTAGTTTCTTTCCGTTCAAGGGCACCACCAACAGATATGAGGACATCTTCTGGACCCTCTTTTATCCCATAGTACATGTCATCCTCTGCCCCTTTCTGCATGACTCTTTGCTCCAATAGCCCAGGTGCTGCCTTAGTTGATATGCCATCTCCTTCTGCGGACCGAGCAGAGAAGTGGCTTGGGTTTGGTGCCGCCACCTCACCATTATTCCAACCCTGACCTTCCGTCGTCACAGAATCAATTAAGGCAAAATCTTCATAGCAAGGAAGTTGGTATCTAAGCTGGCTTTCAGTTGGAAACACAGTATTGGGGGCACTTTTCCACCTCTGTAAAAACGGGCTGTTCGAAGCAGATTCCATTGAAGAGGTATCCATTTCTTCTTGGAGAGAAGCTAGTGGTGCTTGGCTTTTGGACATCTTTGATTGGCTGGAATAATAAAAAAAATAATTGAAGGTCATGGTTGTCCATGCTGATTGCTCAGCTATTTTGTGTTTCGACTGACATGTTTACAGTAAACCAATCAAGGTAGATGTTAGACTTTTACCAGAGCACCTTTAGTTCGGGAATGACCAGCTTTGTTTTTATTAGCTTAGTTTCTAGGTCTAGTTAGAGGTAAGTTGACCTTGCCAATTCAACACTAACATTTGATCTGTTACACACACACACACCAACCACACATACACACACAAAAGAGAGGTGAGACTTTACTGGAGGGCACATAATTCTACCACCATCCCTCCTAGGTTTTGCAATGTGCCAGCGCCTTCAATGCAACACATTCTCAAAGATATAATAGATTCACTAAAAATCAGAGGAGAATTTCAGAACATCGGGTCCCCAGTTGGTTTGCAGCTAGATATGCCAGTTCGGATATTCAATTTTAGAGGTGAGGAGTAATAGAATTCTGCAACTGTGAAATGCTGCTATTACTTCTGGAATGAACTTGTATCCAAACACATTAATCAGTGCTTCCTGCAAAGTTTGTGAACATCTATCTATCTATCTATCTATCTATCTATCTATCTATCTAATCAGTAGTAACTGGAAACAACGTGAATATTTAAATACTCCTTTACAGAAAGTCTGAAAAGGGATAATCACTGAATTCGCTTTTTTTTCCTTCACATACTCAATCCACACTTGCAAAGTAATTTGTCCTTATCCTGATCCTGTTTGTATCCCCAACATTCCTCTGATTTTGAAGTGAAAGCCCCTTTTTTCTACACCTGAGAACTTTAATGTGATTTTTTAAAAAACACTTTTTATTCCACAGTTTCTAGGAAAATGTTTGGTTTTTTTTTTTTTTTTTACAAAGTGTGTCCTATACCTTGAATTGGAGAGACAGCTGGTTGGAAGGTGGGACAAGTTGGTAAGTGGTGACCTTGGCATCCTCGTGGTGTCACTTTTTTAAGAATTCAGAGTATATATGTATATATTTGCATATTTGAATCAGAATATCTGAGAGTCTCTGTTTTTGTTACATGTTATTAAATACTGTACATATTATTTGATTCAATGTTATTCAATATAGTAATCCTTCCACAATTGCAGAGGTTAGGGGTTAAGGGCTGCTGGCCTATGCCATTTTTAACTTCAATAACACCAATCAAACTGACATGGTGGCTGGGTTTGCTCACACTAACTCACTAGGGATAGGAAGAAGGAGATAGGATAGTGAAAGCAGGAGAGGTTGATTGATGCACAGGCCTCCAGGCTGGGCAGAGGGAACAGGATGGAGAGAGGAGAGAAGCTCCACCATAGGAGCAACTGCTAGACTTCCTTCCCGTCTGCCTGCAGCATTAACCTCAATTGTTTGGGTGCAATGGGACCTGATTAAGCTCATATCCTCCAGGGAAACAGCCAAAGAAATTCTGATAGAGCCCCTTCCTGTTGTCTTTGCAGCACTGGCTTCAGTGGGTTTGAGCTTAATAGAGGCTCATATAAGATGTTCTTGTACAATGCAGTGGTTCTCAATCTGGGGTCCCCAGATGTTTTTTGGCCTACAACTCCCAGAAATCCCAACCAGTTTACCAGCTGTTAGGATTTCTGGGTGTTGTAGGCCAAAAACTTCTGGGGACCCCAGGTTGAGAACCACTGAACTACAGGGAAATGTAATGTGATATTAACAGGGTCAGATCAGGGCAGAAAACTGTGCACTTGAGCTGTGATATAGTCCTTTCATGGATTCAATCAAAGTCATTCTACCTTATTACAGATGTCCTCAACTTGATGACTTCCAAATAAGTTGGACAAAGACTCCCATCATGTCTCCCTTCCTATTTATGTAGAATGTGAATTTTTTCTTTCAACTCTACTGATCTTACATTTCCCTAAAGCAGTCTGCACTTTTGTAATCTGTTCGTAAACATTGCCATCAACAGTCAGAATGTTTATGGCATTTAATTGTATCACATTAAATCTATGAAAACTTAATAAACTATTCTTTTTAGCCTAGTGTTTCAGGAAACCTATCCACTAGTGGCTGGTGGCTTTATTACCAGTGGAGCCAGGAATCTACTCCCAGTTTTAGTCCAAATATTTAAGAAGAATATTCAAGGTGATGGGCTCTATTGTCGAAATAGGTTTGGCACTTTGAACAACTTATTTAAATTTTGAGATACGTTTGGAGCAAAATACCAGGCACATTGAGATGCCAGCTAACACTCCTTCCTCGATCTCCTTATCTAAATCTAACTACCCTCCTTTCCATCCATTCAAGTACAGGTTTTGGTAAAGGCAATGCCCTAATCCAACCTAAAGTTTGAATATGTTTGAACACAGAATTGAAATGAGAGTGTTACTCCCATTCTAAAACTGTGACATATAAAAATATTTCATCCATCATATCTATATAGTACAGCTTTAAAGTGGAATTAACATATATGTTAATGGGCATTATGTTTTAGAGAACAATTATATTTTGATCCAAAGCCACACTATCTATTCAACCAAAAACAAGCAGCTGGCTAGTCATTCTATGGTCTGGTGAACTAGCTGTTCATTGGCTATTTACTTCCAACCCTATGACTATGAATCTTCAGATGTCTTCAGAGTGTACAGTGGAAATAACTGGAAGGAAAAATAAATATAAGGAAGTCGTGTACGATGCAAAGCTACCTCAGGACAAAGAACAAGAGCTACTCACGAGTGCAGCGTTGTTGCTCCCTTCTGAGATTCTGGATACTTATATTTATCTCGTTCATTCTCAGAGTTCCTATGGACCTCTGCTTTGGCCTGAACAAGAGGCTGGACACCGGCTCCTGTCCTGATTTGTGGGACTGGGGCAGGCAAGACTCCCAAGTGCTCTTCAGAGCCTGCTACAGTTTTCTGGACCTGTTCATATGATGGCAAGCTTTTCTCATAGACTTCAGATTCTTTCAGGCTGGTATAAGGTGTCTGTGAACTGCAGAAATACAGACATTAGTGAAATACCACTCCTCCAGGGATATTTGCACAATACACAGTTGTAATGCTTTATCCTGCTTTTAGTGTCATGATGACCTCCAATGGAACCCTGGAATTTGTATTTTTATGATCCATTAGACCTCTATCAGAGAATTCTAAATACCACTCCCTAAATGCAGATCCTAGAATTCAATAGGATGTTTCCAAGACAGTTAAAATGGAAATTGTGATGATATAATTACATAGTACAGAAGAGTCCTTAGTTGCACTCCTGTTCTTTTTCCGCAGAGGAGAAGAATCTAATACACTGGTGATTCAGAAATCTGCATGGCACTCTATCTTTTGAATAAATTTGATTTCAAATTAATGCAGAGCTTGGAACTACACGAACATGCCTAGAAGGAGGGATGGAGATTATGGTATCTGCGGTCTAAAAGATAACTTCTCAAAGCTCTAAACATTGTTTTCAAAAACTGTTTTGCAGCTTGTTTGTAAACTTCAACTATCAAAACTAGTTTTTTTATTCTACAATTCATCCCTGGTTGCCAGGTTAGTACTTCGATGGGAGACCACCAATGCGTCCCAGGTGCTGTAGGCTACATTTCAGAGGAAGAAACTGGCCAAACCACCTCTAAGAAATCCTTGCCTAAGAAAACTTATGAAATCCGTAAGATCACCATAAGTTGATGAGCAACTTGAAGGCACAAACACATACAGTCAGCATGGGATTGCACGTGCTCTGAAGATGCAGGTGTGCAGTTTGGATCTACTACTGGATTCAGTCCTCAGCCTAGAGGCCAAGGCATCTCAAAAACCTGAGAGTGCACTTGCCCGGGTTTGTGTGTGCATGTGTCAAGAGCGATTTTAGAAACTGCAAGTCGCTTCTGGTATGAGAGAACCTGCAAGGACATTGTCCCGGGGGCACCCAGATGTTTTGATGTTTTACCATCCTCGTAGGAGGCTTCTCTCATGTCCCCGCATGGGGAGCTGGAGCTGACAGAGGGAGCTCATTCGCACTCTCCCCAGATTCAAACCTCCGACCTGTTGGTCTTCCGTCTGGCCAGCACAAGGGTTTAACTCATTGTGCCACTGGGGGCTCCTACTTCCCCAGTTAAAGCACCAGATGCACACATTCCTGAGATGTCAAATATGGTCATAGGAGGGTGGGGTATATAAGGAACTTAGAGGTATGGGTGATAAGTTCCTTATAGGGTACATGCATGCCTTAGTTGCATCCAGTTTTGAAAACTGTATGCAGCATAATATTCATGGGGCTGCCTTTTAAGGCCTGAATAAAACCATAGCTGGTCCTAAATGCTACAACCAGACTATTGGCCAACGCTGGTTACAAGGAACTAATTCCCCTGTCAACATCTTTGCTGGCTGCCACTCTGTTTCTGGACACCATTCAAAGTGTAGGATAAACATATAAAACTTCTAAACAGCTTAGATTCAGGCTGCCTAGATTATTGTAAGAATCTAGTAATAACAAATGTGTCCTCTCTATTTTTCTCTAGCTTTAGAAAAACCATGTCCTCCACATGTCCCAATTTATATGGATGGTCTTAATTAATTCTCAGTTGTTCGACTTGCTCAGTTTCTTTTAAAACAGTGTCTCTCAAACTGTGCTCCTTCAGGTGTTTTGGGCCTCACCTCCCAGAAATCCCAGACCACTTACCAACTATTAGGAATTGTGGGAGCTGAAATCCGAAACATCTGGAGGAATGCAGTTTTAAAATAGCTGTTTCTCTTTCCTCCTTTGCCCTTGCTTAGTTACATTGGTACAAAAACAGTGTCCATTCTATTAGCTTAGCAGCAGGAAAAGAAGACAGAGAGAAATCTTGTCCTTTCCAGTAGACTCAGGCAAAAGCAAACTGCAAATTTAATTTTAAATTGCTCTAATTTATTGTTTTTATTCAACTTCTTTTTTAATATGTCCACCTTACATACCAGATCTGGAGAAAAGTCAAGATATAGATCAAATAAACAAACAAACCAGCCTTCTCCGACTGGATATCCTCCAGATGTGGTGGACTACAATTCCTGAATTCTAGTTGACATGAAATATTTTGGGAGTTGCTGTCTAACACATCATGCACTATTGGTCAAGGCCAGTGTATATTTATTTTGCACGTTTTTCTCTGAGCTTGTAATCACTAGTTTATGAACAAAAATTCCAACCGGATGTCTGAGGCATTCTGGGGAAAGTGTAAACAACGATTTCTGCATTTCCCAGATGGAGTGATCTGTTTCTGATATATATATCTCAGAAACGGATACTGAAATGAGGCTACATATTGAAAACAAAAGTTCACCCCTTAGCTTTCCTGACCTGTGATCTCCAGTGATGTTCCATATCTTCAAAAATAATGAGCAAGATGTTGCTTTTCTCTGGGCTTCTTTAGCTTTAAATAGACATAACATTTCATGAATTTCTCTTTCTTGTGCCAGAGTTTCCAGACAATGACCTTGTCTCCCTAAGGAACATAGTTTATACTATGTACTGCTGATTAGTATTCTAATTAAAAATAAGATTACAAACTGTTGAGCTGAATCTTACAGGCTTCGTTTCCTTACCTGCTCTTCTCAGGAATCTCATTTTTCATACATGAAACACCAGGCTTTTTAATAAGGAACTTCTCTGACTCTGAGTAAGCAGATACAATTTGGACCTGGTGAGAAAAGAGGAGAGTTTAAGGGAGAATTGAACAAAGAAGGGGTAAATATTGATTTCTTGGGGTACCTTTAGAGCCCTGGCATATCTCCTTCCATACCACATGAATGTAGCTGTACACCTTGACATGTTTTCACTTCAATCACCAAGGTTAATGTCAGAGGGTGATGTTGATGGGTACATATCAAAATCCAAGTCACTTGCAGACAATCTTATTTGTTAGTTACCTGTAACTCACTTCTGACGAGTTTAAGACAGTCTACATCAGTGGTTCTCAACCTGTGGACTCCCAGGTGTTTTGGCCTACAACTCCCAAAAATCCCAGCCAGTTTACCAGCTGTTAGATTTCTAGGAGTTGAAGGCCAAAACATCTTGGGACCCACGGGTTGAGAACCACTGGTCTACATGGTGCTTCTCCTCTCCACTTTATCCTTACAAAAAAACTTGTGAGATTTGTCAGAGAGAGTTTACTAGAGAGCCCAAGGATTGATGAGCCCAAGGTCATCCAATTAGTTCCATAGCTTAGAGAGAACCTGAGGCTAGATCTTCCAAACCAATACTCTCATCACTGCACCATCCTGGCTTTCCAATCCCCATGATATCTTGTCCCTCTGAGTCTTCCTCATTGCTTTTGCAGTTTGTGGGTTTGCTATCTTTGTGTATGCAAGCAATTGTAATTGCTCAGTAACATCCTTCCTTATGTTACTGAGCAGCAACTCCACAACTCCCAGACGATGTAGCCAATGGTAAGGACTGCTGGGATCTGCAGTTCAACCATAGCTAGAGGTCCACACTTTGCCCACCCTGGTAAAGAAAGAAATATCCTCCATATACTTATAGTCTTTTTCTTGACAGGAACATGGATAATGACTGGAAGGAGGAAGCAAGTGGAGGGGCAGCAATAATTGTTCTGAGTAGTGTGTCTGCCCTCCCCCCAACACTTCCTACACACAACACACATACACTCTGATTACTATTTTCCCTGCAGGGTCACTGAAATTGGTGAGAGCCAACCTGACTAGGAAAACGATATGAAAAAAAAGTCTGGAGCATTATCTCTCCTGCTACTGTTCCAGTCTAATTGGCACCCAGGCACCTATCAGAGTCTGGAAGTAACACATTAGAAATGACATTTCCTCTTTTTGAAAACAAGGCCCTAGGAAGTGTGAATTACAAAGTACTTTATTGGTGGAACAAGCAACATTTTCTAGGAACTTATAGAAGTAATTTTTTGAAGAGACTTTGAGGACTTTTAAAAGTCATTTTGACACAAATATTTTTATGCCATTCTCCTGGCACGGTAAATTCCAAGAAGCAAACCTTGATTTTCCACTTTATATATGGACACCATTTTACTACACCATTGCATATAATGGCACTTGAGGATTTTCATATCCAAGGGAAAGTGAGTGAGTGTGCAATTCTGGAGCCAAACCTTGGTGAATAACAAGGACTCACTTGAAGCTCATGGAATTATATCTCAATCACACTGTGTCACCTTGTTACAGATGTTACACCAGCAAATGCTCATTGTGTGTTAATGTGCACAACCACAAAATCAATGTTTGAGGTGCAATGATGCACAATATACTATGTGCACAGTTGTCCAAAGGCACCATGTGCATAATTCCACTTTCATAATCTCTAGATGAGTGTAAATGTTATACATCAGCCAAAAATAGAAATACATACATAAGAGGATATATACACTGCTTTGAGCCTCTTTAAGAAAAAAAAACAGAATAATAATAATAATAATAATAATAATAATAAACATGTACAGGGCACCAACAGGATGCTAGCTGATATCTTCAGAATTTCCTAAAACTTCCAATTATAGTCCAAAAATTCTCACCAGAGACATTTGTCATGTATAAAAAAGAGAGAGAGACAGAGAGAGGACAGAGAATCAGTTGCTGAAGGCATCTCATTTGAAAAGAAAGCAAGGCTCATTTCTTACCTTTGGGTAGCACTGGCACATACTCCAAACAACCCCGGTTAATATGGTCAGGACCCCCAGAGTGCAGAAGGTGATGTAGATCTGAGGCTTTTCCACACTCATGATGAACATGCCGATCATCACCAGGAAGAAGCCCAAGACGATGAGTCCATAGCGAAAGGTTTTATTTTCAGCCATTGGCTTCCTCAGCCCCAAGAAGCAGGAATCAAAACCAAGCTGATTTCTGAGCAAACTAATTGATACAGTGAGTAGTTGCACTGCAAACTGGGGTGCAAGAGGGTTAAGGAGAAGAGATCCTGGAGAGTCCTTCACCTGTCCCTGAACCAGGCAACAACCCTCATAGAGGTGTGCTCCAAAGAGGTGTGCTGGAGGCTGCAAGAGGATGAAAGTCAGCAGCACCTTCAGACCAGTCCTGCCCAGGTCTAAGCCAGCCCATTTCAAATGGGTTTGTAATGAATGCAAACCAGATATTTAAATTCATTCTTGAATAACACTGCCTCCAGGGAAGGCTTAAATAGCACCTTTAGTATAAGTAAGACCAAAAAACCTAGGCATGTTTTGGATCTTTCTAGTTTGAATCCATTCCTAGGGGTCTCTGGTGGGTTACTGGCGAATAGATGAAACAGGCAGATTTCACAGCAAGACAAGCTGGATTCTCTCTGGCCACATTTTGGTCCTTGATATAAACTTTAAAGTGCCTCGACTGCTGTAAATCTGGTTCCCTGCCTGGGCTTGAAAGAGATGATACAGTTTTTAAATGCTCTGACTTATTGTTTATCCTTTATTTTATCAAAATATATCTTAACTGCACCAGAGGATTCCAGATCAGTTTACAAAAGTGAGACCAATAAAAAGGCCTTTCCACACAAACATATAAATCACTGGAAGCACAGGCAAGGCCTCCAAGAGGCAAGGAACACATTTCTAAATAAAGACAAATGGGAAAACAATTTGACAAACATTTCTTATTTTCACATGTGTTACCAGTGACAACCATTTCGGTTTGTTGGACAAAGCTATGTTTTGTTCATTGACTCAACAGTCTATCAAAAGCTGCAGTACTTTCACAGCAGTGTGAAAAGTTATCTTTTGTATCACACCTTCTGGCTTGGGTATACTGGGAGCTGTAATTCAAACTGTAACATTTCCAACCAAATACCTTTAACTGAATGTGTTGAGTATCCAAATTCCTACAATTAGAAGTATTTGTGACTTCGTGGGTTTTTTCCCCCAGATTTGCAATACCTGTATTTGTGTATGTGTGTGTGTGTGTTCATAATGAGATAGCTACGAGATGGGACCCAAATTCCAAGATGAAATTCATTTTATATTTCATATGTACCTTATACACAGCCAGGTAAAAGTAAAGGTTTCCCCTTGACATTAAGTCTAGTCGTGTCCAACTCTGGGGGATGGTGCTCATCTCCATTTCTAAGATGAAGAGCTGGCGTTGTCCATAGACACCTCCAAGGTCATAGGGCCAGCATGACTGCATGGAGTGCTGTTACCTTCTCACTGAAGGAGTACCGATTGATCTACTTACGTTTGCATGTTTTCAAACTGCTAGGTTGGCAGGAGCAAACAATGGGAGCTCACCTTGTTGCATGGATTTGAACTGTCAACCTTCTACTCAGCAATTTCTGCAGTTTAGCGGTTTAACACACTGCACCACCGCGGCCCTTATACACATAACCTGAAAGGAATGATATACAATATTTTAATTATTTGTACAGGACATAAAGTTTGTGTACAGTGGACCATCAGAAAGCAAAGATGTCCCTATCTTCGCCTATGCAGTCATTTATGAATTTTGAAGGATTTTGAGATCCAGATAAGGAATGCTCAACCTAGACAGAGTCCATTATGGATATTAGCACCATACCCTCCAATATTTCATAGATGAAAACCAAGACATGTGTGGCCAAGCAATGTCAGAGTGTGGTCAGGATGGCAAGCTTTATTAATAAGCAGAATACACCAGTTGGAAGAGCCTGCAGGAGATTTCCTCTACAGCAGTATTTCTCAACCTGTCAAAGACCATCAGAAAACACAATATTTTCTGTTGGTCATGGGGGTTCTGTATGAGAAGTTTGGCCCAATTCTATTGTTGGTGGGGTTCAGAATGCCCTTTGATTGTAATAAGTTAGCTATAAATCCCAGCAACTACAACTCCCAAATGTCAAGATCTATTTTCCCAATCTCCACCAGAGTTCACATTTGGGCATATTGAGTATTTGTGCCAAGTTTGGCCCAGAGCCATAATCATTTGAGTCCACAGTGCTTTTTGGATATAGATGAACTCCTAAATTCAAGGTCAATGCCCACCAAACCCTTCCAGTATTTTCTGTTGGTCATGGGAATTCTGTGTGCCAAGTTTGATTCAATTCCATTGTTGATGGAGTTCAGAATGCTCTTTGATTGTAGGTGAACTATAAAGCAACTACAACTCCCAAATGACAAAATCAATCCCAACCCCACCAGTATTCAAATTTGGGCATATTGGGTATTTTTTTTCCGAATTTGGTCCAATGAATGAAAATGCATCCTGCATATCAGATATTTACATTACAATTCATAACAGCAGCAAAATTACAGTTATGAAGTAGCAAAGAAAATAATGTTATGGTTGGAGTTCACCACAACATGCGGAACTGTATTAAGGGGTCACGGCATTAGGAAGGCTGAGAAATACTGCTCTACAGGCAGTCCCCTAGTTACAAACATCCAACTTACAAGTGACTCATCATTACAACCAGGAGTAATGCAACAGAAAAGGAACAAACACCATGGGGGTGTTAAGCCTTCCCTAAGCTATCAAAAGCTTAAAAAATACATACATTTGGTTGGAGTTTCACTTAAAAATGTATCTGTTCTGATTTACATACAAACTCAATTTAAGAAAAACCTACAGAAGCTCTATTATTTGTAGCTTGCGGACTGCCTGTCCTTGTGTCTACATGGAAGGACACAACTCTGCTCCCTTCTGTCCTCTCTCCAAACAGAGTTAATTGGGTGCAAATTACCTAGTATATTAAACACAGGTTGGATTTACCCTGCCCTCTAATCCAGTGATTAACTGCATTGATGTGGATTATAGGGCAGTGTAGACTTTTATAATCTAGTTCAATGCAGTTAATTCACATTCTGAAACTGCATTATAGGGAAATTTAGATCCAGCCTAAGTTTTCAGTAATTGAATTAAGCTAGAGACAACCAAGGAAAGTGGTAGGAAGAAAAAAACCAGGACATTTTAAAAAGCTACTGAAGAAAATGGGATGACAGAAGACTAACTGTAACTGCCCCTTTAAGATCAGGACAGTTGGATGATATGTATCACTTTGCATCAAATTATTTCCATGAGAACCATGTCAAGATCTTTGCACATGTTGACCTCTTATACATTTGTTTTAACAAGCTCCAATCAATTCGCTAACTTTTAAATTATGTGTCCTGGGAGGACATTTTCTTCCGTCCTTTGAAATGTATATCTCTAAGGAGCATTCTGAAGTCTGGTGACACGCTGTTCATTCTGAGAGTAATTAATGGAAAGATTTTAATCACCAGTCCCTTCTCCAAATGTACTTGAATGAAAGCGAGGAGCTTCACTCCATTTGCCTCCCATTAGGTTTGCATGTAGTCATTCAGTATGTCTTTCTCAGCTATTTTTCAAATCAGAAATGTTTTGTGTGGCTTAAGGTAAGATTCAAAGATTCGCAAGACTCCCAGATTTCTGGCTGATTTTGCTACTTGGGGTGTGTGTGTGTGTGTGTGTGTGTATTCCTCTCTCATGTTATCTTTTACAGAAATTGGGCATAGTTTGCCATCTAGTGGGGTTCTTGTACAGCTACACCAATGCTTGACATGAGAAAAACAATGCCATGGTACTGTAAATTACCTACATATTTTCAGAAATTGATTTTTTCACTGTGCTCATTAATCTAAATATTCTTTCTTACTCCTTCTCCCACATCAGCTATTAAAATACCCTAATTTCAGCTGATAAATAATCTACAAAGACTGAAGAATTTCAGCTAATTTACTCCATCTCGTATCTTTTAAAATTCTATTGGTGTAATTGCTAAACTCTGTGGCATAATGTAAAAATAAACCACGTGCAGTTTACATTTGACCAGCCCACACACTGCCTTGCCAGAGAAAGAAAACATGCCACTCAGATGAACAATAAAGAACAAGTAGTTTACTCTTCGGGGTTCAGAACAACATATGTACAATGTGGTCAGTTGCGTCAACTCACATAATGTCCTTTTATGAAACATTTAAATGGTTTTTCTTTGTCCATGTGGATAAACTCTTTCAGCAGCAAGAGCACATTCCAAACTCTGTCTCTCTTCTTCTCTCTTCTGCTTTCTCTGCAACTGCATAACTCAAGCCTGAACAAAAATGTAACAGTAACCAAAAGTCCCAGGCTCAGCTGTGTCCCTGGGTATAGCCCGACCAATCAGCTTCATGCATCTTATTTTACAGTTGACACACACACAAACACACACCTCACTGATTCTTTACGTGCTCCAACAAACTCCACAGAAAGTAGCCCTTCTCTAACAATAGTTATTCTTTACACACTGTCAATAGGCAAGGCATTAATCTTTCTGCAGTAGGTATTGAAGCCCATCATTCATAACTGCAGGGTTTGGATCCAGATGGGACATTTTGTGATGGAAAGGCTTCTTCTGTTTGTAGAAGGAACTGGATCCAGTGGAGGAAGTGAACCATCTTCACTCAAATTATTCCCTCTGCAGATACATGTAATCTCTCCTGCATTTCTGGAGGGTTCCTCAAAGCTCCAGAGCAATTCTTCAGGGGTTTGTAACAGGTTGTTGCAAATATGACTTTCCTGACCCTTACCTCCAGCCTGAACACTCAGGACAATATTGGATCCAACTTAGGCCCCTACTCCACTTCCATATAAATCCAGATTATCTGCTTTGAACTGGATTATATGACAGTGTAGACTCATATAATCCAGTTCAAAGCCAATAATGTGGATTATATGATTTGATAATCTGGATTATATGCCAGTGTAGAAGGGGCCATTGTAACATTATTTAAATCAGTATTCAGTATACCAAGAATAGGGAACGTGCAACCCTTTAAGATTGTTGGGAATTGCAGTCCAAGAACATAGTCAGGACCTCACCTTCCTGATCACGCCAATAGATCCCAACAAGTAATTTAGAAGTCTTGCTTTTACAGAAGAAGAAACTGTTAAATCAGTTTCTGTGAGCTGGTGTGTGAATTGGCAATGTAGATAGACCTCAGTTAGCTAAGCAGATGTGTTCCTGGGACACTGGTTTCTTAACAGCAAATTTGGTACCAGCAATCGAAATAACATGGAAAGAACAAGGATCAATTCCTATCTCACAAAGTTATTTATTCAAATTTAACAGTGCACATGTATGAAATGAAACCATCAGATCACGTCGGTCTCACAAAAGCAAACAAAAACATTTTAAACCTTCTACACATTACTTTTTCTTTCACCAGCCTGTGTTTTCTTTATGATTTTCACGTTTGTGGCTAAATTCAGAGATTTATGCCTTTTAAACATGCAGGGGGTAACTGAGTAAGGACCCTTCCACACAGCAGGATAAAATCCACATTGAACTGGATTATATGGTAGTGTGGACTCAAATAACACAATTCGCGACTTCTTCCCTTCTATTTGGGAGTATGTGATGCATAGAGAGGCTGCCACATGCTCACACGGGGTTTCTCTGAGAACCCTGCCTGTTGGGCCACTCAGAGTAGAACAACACTGTGGGCTCTGAGAGGTGCTGCCTTGCCTTGCCGCTTGCTCGCTCGCAGCTCTGCTTCTTTCGCTTTTGCTTGGCTTCTAGAATTGAATCTTTTTGATTTTTCTTTATTTTCTTGATTCTTTATATTTAGTGGGACTGGGAGTTGGAAAGTGAGAGTGGGTGGGTGTGCACATTTTGGGACTTGGGAGAGAAAAGAAACTATCTCTTGGGTGGGCGGGTGGGTGTGCTTTTCTTTAGGGTGGCTCTGAGCTTTGAGTCACCCTTTAGCTTCTTTCCTTCTCTCCTCTCCTTATATTTTTTCTCCTCCCTCCCCTCCTTCAGAAATCGCTTTTGATAATAATAATAATAATTCCAGCAAGCAGCAAAGCCTCATTTTCAGAAAACTGAAATACATTTTCATTCCTTTGCAAACAAGTTCTCTCTGTTTATACTTCTCCACCTTCTTAATTTCAAATAATAATAATCAAAA